GCCGGCCGGCCGGCGCGGCGGCCACAGCTCCCGCCCGGTTACCTGCCACCGGCTGCCCGCGCCGAGGACAGTTTAGCCACCGCGGCGGGATCTTGTTGTGAGCCATGTCTCCGCCCCGCGCAGTCTTCCCTCGGCGGCCCCCAACTCGTGGCCTCGGGCCACGAACGAGCCAAGCCCTCCAACACCAGCCGAGACCCGGACGCCACCGGCTCCAAGGCGAGTTAACGTCAGAGACGCCGCGCCACTTTCATTCAGGCTCAACTCTGAGGCTCGAGACGAGCCCACAATGCACCGCAACTTCCGCCCCCGAAAACACACCCCCTTATTTCCGAGGTCAGAGGGGAAGAAAAGGAAACTCGGCGAATGGGTGGGGCAGAGCTTTCCTAGCCACGCCCCGTCATGGCCTGGTCCTGCCCCGCCCCGCCTCGGTGTGGGCGAAAACTAGAGCGCGCCTAGTTTGCCTCTGCGCGTGCGCACTTGCTCTGGTGCCTGGAGAACTTGGGAGAGAAATCCCCAAAAGAGAAGGAGTTTTCTACGGCGTGCTAGCCCGCCGCTTTCATAAAGGCGTCGGTTTCCGGATGGGAATCGTAGCTCATTGTAGCGCGAATCTGGTATCCTGGCCTTTTCCGGCTTTGATTAGTAACTTCTCCCAAAGGGAGGACAGACTGGTTACCGAGGAATTCTAAGGGTGGGAGATGGGTTGGCTGAGGATAAAGAAAAAAAGGATTGAAGAAGATCCTAGTCGCATCTGAAGTTAATTTCAAAACCGTTCCCGAGTTTTGTCTGCCATGTCCGGAGCAGAGTTTCAAAGCGTATTTTGAGGTCTTGAAAGCTCTGTGTCCCAAAGATGTCTGTATGTGTACATTACGGACGTGGGTTTGTCCGGAGGAAAGTTGCTGGTGGTGTTCTTTGCCTACCGAATAAATGGTCCTTTTTATTTGCCCTGCAAGTTAAGCAGAGGTGTTTGGAAGCATTTTACAAATGCCATCCTATAACAAGAGTGGTTACCAGCCTAAATTATTGAAGTATTAAATATAAAGCCAGATGGTGGCAAATTATGCTGTAACAGTTTGACTTTAAGCACCAATGCTGTATTTGAATGGCAAGAATATAAGCGTATAAGGCTACAGGGAACTTTTTTTTTTTTTTTTTTTTTTTTTGGTCAGTCGTGGGGCTTGAACTCTTTGCCTAGGTGCTGTCCCTGAGCTCTTTTGCTCAAGGCTAGTGCTCTACCACTTTGAACCATAGCTCCACTGGTGGTTAATTGGAGACAAGAGCCTCGTGGGGACTTTTCCGCTCAGGCTGGCTTCTAACCGTGATCCTCAAATGTCAGTCTCCTGAGTAGCTAAGACTATAGTCTTAGGCCACCAGCTCCAGGCTCAGGGAATATATTTTTAAGGTTAATATGGACCTTTCTAGGTAAGGTCAGTTCATTAAATGACTAAACCCTCTTGGGTAAAGGTCAGAATACTCTGAGAAAATAGCACTGTGGCTCATGTCTGTAATCCCAGCAGTTCCAGCTACTTGGGGAGCAAAAGATAGGAGGATGGAGGTTTGAGGCCAGCCAAGGCAACCTTAGATCCTTATCCTAAAAAGTGAGTTGACACGTGTATATCTACAGGAGAGTGAGAAAGCACAGCAGTGGAGATCACTGGACACTGATGAAAGTGAAGTGTAGATCTCAAGGGTGGAAAAGGGAGGGAGGGAATGGGAGAGAATGAGGGAGCAGATGACACTGTGCGGAAGGAAATGTACTTATTACCTGACTCGTGTAAATGTAACCCCTCTGTACATCACCTCTATAATAATAATAAATAAATATTTTTAAAGTGAGTTGAGACCTTATCTCAGAACAAGCTGGCATGGTGGCTCATACCTAAAGTAATGTCAACAGAAGGGCCACATTCTGAAGCCAGCCCTAGGCAAAAATCATGAGACTCTATAAGAAAAGTAACTATAGCAAAACAGGTTTTCTGGATGTAGCTCAATTGGTACAGCACCGGCTTAGCCCTGAATTCAATCATCAGTACAACAAAATGTTTAAATAAATAAATAAAATAGAGAAAACTCATTGGCTATGTCTTTTTCTTTGAGGCAGCCTGAGTTAGGTCTTAGCTTCTCCACTGATAGAGCTGTTCAAATCTTTTTGTGAAGTGGCTTCATGCCACTAGTAAGCAGTTGCTGTTGGCTCTAAGGCCACATGTGTATGTGTTACTTAATTCCACTACCAGGTTGCATCCTATCCATCCTGAGAGCTATATACTGAGAGGACACATGGCTCCCATTTTCCCACTGTAGAAGATAAAATAAGAGAATACCATCCAAGCGAGTGGGAGGTTTCTCTGTCTTTCAGGAATCCCTTGCCTGGTGAGTATTTCTTCCTGATCCCAGGTTTTTGCTATCTGGTTGGGAAAAAAAAACAAAACTTTAAGTAGTTACCAATATAGCTCCCCCCCCCTCTGGTTTCCTGAATCCCCCAATTTACTCTCCCAAAACTGATACTGTCTCCTCTTTATTGACTATTTATTCTCTTCATTGTTAAATTCTTCCATCTATCATCTCTCTTAACCCAAGAGAAATGGATGACAAAAAGACTAAACTTTCCCTGTTGACAGAAGGGAGAGTCTCCTCACAACCTTCCTTAGAGCATTTTATTTGAGAAAATTTAAATATCTAAATCCTTTCTCCTTACTTTGAAAAGTATATATAATATTTTAAAAGCCAAGTGAGACAGTGCTGGTGGCTCACAACTATAATGCTAGCTAATCAGGAGGCTGACATCTGAGGATCACCGTTCAAAGCCAGCCTAGGCAGGAAAGTCCAAGAGATTCTTCTCTCCAATTAACAGAAGTGGATATGTACATATAAGTAGTAGAGCACCAGCCTGAGTGTAAAAGCTAAGGTTCAACACAGCACACAGGTCCTGAGTTCAAGCCTCCAGTAGTAGCATGCATGTACACAGAGAGAGAGAGAGAGAGAGAGAGAGCCAAGTGAGCCTCTCATCAGTTTACAAAACAGTCTTCTGAAATATAATCAAGGAAGATAGTGTTCTCATCTCCTAATCACCTGTTTGTCCTTGAACAAATCTACAGAGGCTTTGCCCCAGACTGTAACTTCTTAGGATAGGAAAAGGTTGTTGTCCTTCAGATAATGGCAATTAAACAATCCAAGTGACTACTCTAATTGCTGAGAGAACATACAATGAACTCTGAAAGAATATTAAGCAAGTTAATCAAAGTTAACCTGCTGTCAAGACATCAAGTTTTATCTTGAAAACACATATATAATGGATTGCATGTAGTTGGCTAAAAAAAAAAAGTAAGTTTTTTGCAATCTCTGTAGCCTCATTAGCAGATTACTTGTGAGGCACATCATAGTCTGACAATGTTTATTCAAGAATAAAGTTCTAACAGCAACGAAGAAAATACCTCTTGCCAGGCACTAGTGGTGGCTCAAGCCTATGATCCTAGCAACTCTGGAGGCTGAGATCTGAAGATCATGGTTCAAGCCCCAGGACTGGCAAACACACACACACACACACACACACACACACACACACACACCAAACTCTTGTTTCCAAAAAGAAATGTACTCTTTACCTGACTTATGTAACTGCAGCCCCTTTGTACATCACCTTCATAATAACAATTAAAATATTGTTTAAAAGGAGATCAAAAGCTGAACACCAGTGCCTCATACCCATAATCCTAGCTACTCAGGAGGCTGAGATCTGAGGATAACAGTTCAAAGCCAACTTGGGCAGAAAAGTCCTGGTGAGACTCTTATCTCCAAAACCACTGAAAAACCAGAGCTGTGGCTCAAAGTGGTAGAGCATTAAACTTGAGCAAAAGCACTCAGGGACAGGGCCCAGGCCCTGAGTTCAAACCCCACAACTGACATAAAAAAAGAAGAAAAACTCCTTGCCTCTTTTTCTACCTTCCTGAAGAAAATTTTTCTGGGTTGACACATCTTATTCTCAATTTTCCCCCAGTGGATATTTACATTTCATTGAGTTATTAAAGGCTTTTGCAGGATGTGCCTCTCCCAAACCCAGCAGTGCTATCCTACAGCTTGCTTTGAAGTTCACTCTCCTGAACTTCACCAGTATCTGAGAGGGACATTAGCTTTATCAATGAATCCCCAGGGACTTTAGCTGGTGTCATCTATTCTCTTTCTCACACTGGTAAGCCACCACCTCCTGACTGTACTGCTCAATCTTCAGAAGTTGGGAACAGTGGGCTGGGAAGGTGGCTCAGTGGTCGAGTGTTTGCCTCGCGTGCATGGGGCCCTGGGGTCGATTCCTCAGCACCACATAAACAGAAAAAAGCCAGAAGTGGTCCTAGGGCTCAAGTGGTAAGAGCATTAGCCTTGAGCTGAAAGCTGAGGGACAGCGCCTGGACCCTGATTTCAAATCCCACAACCACCAAAAAAAAAAAAAGAAGTTGGGAACAGTTCAGAGATGCTCAGATTCGGCTGAATTTGGAGTGCTGGAGAAACTGGAGTTACATCTTGATCCAGGAGTTAGGCAAAGAGTTAAGAAACTTAAATGGCTGAGAATAATGATGTGGATATGGGCAAGAAATCACATACTGAGTTGCTGATGTTAACAGAATAGCTAGTGACATATAGCAGGGTATTGCAGCCTCCCACCGTGGAAAATGGCCACCTTGGTTTGACCATGTGAGGCCAAGAACTTCATTGCCCTCCATGTGTGAATATTTGATAAATAGTGTCTGGAAATTTGTGACATGTTTATCCAGTATTTCAGACCGACTCCTCCTATGTCCACAGACCCCAATAAAAACTTGAGGTCCTGGGATTCTGTGTAGCACTTCTTGATCCTGCCCACCTGCCTAAACGATGCACTTTTGCTCTTCTTTCTTTCTTTCTTTCCTTCCTTCCTTTCTTTCTTTCTTTCTTTCTTTCATTTATTTTTGTTGGTTGTGAGTGTTGAACTCTGGGCCTGAGCACTGTCCCTCAGCAACTCAGCTCAAGGCCAGCACTCTACCACTTGAGCCACAGTACCACTTCCTTTTTTCTGGTGTTTAATTGGATATAAGAGTCCCACAGACTTTCCTGTCCAGGCTGGCTTTGAACCGTGATCGTCAGATCCTCAGGTCCTTAGATCTCAGCCTCCTACAATTACAGGCATGAACCACCAGCACCTGCCACTTTTGCTTTTCTTTTGCTTTTCTTTTGCTTTGTTTTGTTACCTCCTATTTGTTTCCTCTATGTGTGCCCTTCAAATCT